AAATATGATCATCCCATTTTGCAGATATTATAAATGAGGCTTAGGAAGATTCAGTGTCCTAAGGTTGCACAGCCAGTGTGTGGGAGACCCAGGGCCTGATCACAGGTACATTTGATTGCAGATTTGGGCTCCTAACACGTCAGTACCCTGCTTTCACACAGACTGTGCTCTCTGAGGCTCTCATTCTGTGGAGGTGGGAAGTCTGGTGTTCACGCTCACATTTACCTGAAGAAGACATGGAAGCCCAGACAAGTTAAGGGACCAGTCAGCCTTAGTGTCCCTCAGCTGTTGCCCAGATCCTTTTAGCTCGAGTTTACCTTTTTAAAAACTGCTTTCCTTTGTTGATCATGAAATGATTTTTAAGAATATTAGAGAAAAGAAGGACATGGAATGAAAAGAAAAGCATTTACTTTGTGAATTTAACTGACATTGCAGAAGAGTAGAGTTGTCGATTGCAATGAACAGAATGTGCCCACATATCACGACGTAGTTTCTCTGTCCAGTGATGATGGATCATATTCGGAGGGAGTGATTCCTCTGGAGAAAGGAGAGGAGCTTCTACATGTTTCTTAGAGCCCCTCCAGCCTGTCTGTCTGCCCCAGCCCTCGGAAGCTTGGCATCTCCCTGGACTCAAGTTCCCGTCAGGGCCTCAGGTACAAGGAAGGGGCCTTGGGGCCCTGTCTTCTAAGACTCAGCATCCAGCTGGGCTTGACCCAGGTCAGCCTGTGACCCAGGCCCCAGGACTGATAACTGGGGTATCTGCCTCCTTCCATAAACCCTAGGCTTTGGTTCTGGTGTCTGGATCCTGTCTTGCTTCTCCAGGCTGAGTCCCAGCTCAGGTAACCTCCTTGACTGTCGGTTTCTCTCAGCCTCACCCTGTTACATTGCTGCCAAACTTCTCTTCCACCTGGACTGAGTCAGAACCTGGATCAGGGTGGTTCAGGCCCAGTGAACTGCCGATAGAGTCCCCCAGTGAAGCTGGCCTCCCCGCTCTTGTGTTTTGTCTGCTGCAAGGATCTCCGCCCAGGACTAGACCTACTGCTAACCTTTGGCCTGATTACTGCCTCTTCTCTCTTATTATTCTCTAGGAACACGGTGCCCTGCCTTCTGGACCTCACTTGTTCCTGGCACTGACAGCGTACCTCTGTCCCCCAAGCTTCAGCCCAGCCCAGCATCCACACCCACGCCTAAGCTAGTTAGGCCCGGCCTTGACCGAGACAGACCTCTGTTGCCTTTCTTCCAAGTGGGGTCAAGTTTTCATTTCCAATAATTAGACTTCAGTGAGGCATTGATGGGAAAGGGCAGAAAGGGGGCCAGCCACTGTTTGAGGCAGTGGACCAATGGAGGAGGAGGGGTGGGGTGCAGCATAGCTGGCAGGGGGCCTCTGCCCAGCAGAGAGCACATCCGACCTTCGCTGGCTGCCATCCCGGTGAGAATAAAGTCAGAATGCACTAACTTGAATGGCAAGGTCCCTTCTCCTCTAATCTGACTCCCAGGGCCCCTCAGGACACTGGTCACAGTGTCTTATGCTCACCATGCTGTAGCATGGACATTGACTGGAGTCCCCCAGGCCTATCAGGCTGTCCCCGGTCCCTGGCCCGTCTCTTTCTGGGCCACGCAGTGAGCCTCAGTTTACACTTCTCAACTCTTCTGCTCAGTTTGGTGCTCATCCTTCATGTTCTCCTTAAACACAGTGATTTCCCCAAGTGGGGACCATATTACAGTTCCTGACCCCATATTGCGGCAATAGTATGTGCCCAGGAAATGCCGAATGAATGAACGAAAGAAACCGTCATGCCTCTTAACGTCCTGAACACGAAACCCTAACCTGCTCTCTGCACCCGGCTCATCTAACTGATAAAACACCTGACTACATATGAATCAGGAAGCAGGTTTTTTGTTTCTGGTTGTGTCTTGTCCAGTTGGGAAAAGACAATGAGAAAGAAATACTTGCTGAGCTTTGGCCTTGATGCCTCTGTCCTCGCGGTCTGCGACACAGGGGGAAAGCTGAACAGGGCTGCAGTCTTGGAAATAAATAACACTTCCTCTTGTTTAAGTACAATTTCTCAAAGAAAAGTTCTACTTTGTACTTAATTGGATTCTTTCTTGCTGCAATTTAAGCCTTCTTTCTCCTTTCCCTGAGTGGAATTATAACTCATTATCTCTGAAGTTCACAGGGGCAGCTTTTCTAAAAGCAAGACAAGGAACTGACTCTTCGAGCTTGCATTCTCCCCTCACCTTTGTCTTCCTGTGCATGTGTCTTTCTCAGACTCCCAAAAAGTGTGCATTTGCTTTAATGAGTTAGTACATAATAGGTTCCTGTGCTATTTGAGAAAACAATTTCCATCTGTTCATATATTGTTAAAAAGTAATGGGTTCTTATTTTTAAAATAAAAGTCTAATCCTTCCCTAGTTCCTCTTCTCAAATACTGAATCTCAGATCCTTTGAGGTCCAACATAATTTAAGTGTTAATTCCTTTCTAAGCTCTTTTCAAGCTACTTCACTCACCATGCAGATTTCATTAAACCTCAGAGTCTCTTCATATTGATGTCTTGGAAAAGGCAAAGTAACTCTTGCTCTATATTAAAATATTTTGCTCAAGAGTTGTGTGTTTTGTCCCCATTTCTAAAGATGTATTTATTTATTTGGCCTTCAGAAAGGAAACAGAAGTCTGTTACAACTAAAAGAGAATGCAAGCGCTGGGCTTCTCATCTCATTTGTGGGCAACATCTGGTTATTGTAATTCACAGGGTTCACTGTCCTGAGCAGTTTCAGCCTTAAATCACCCTGTGTTGGCAAACAACAGTGAGGGCCAGGCCAGGAAAGAAACAGACGAATCTTACGCACGGAATGAGATTAAATAAAGGCATACGCATGCCAATATTTCAATTTCTAATATATTCACCTTGAAAGCCAATCTGTTGTTTCAGTGATGATGACACTGAAAGCTATTCTGTTCTGGAGCTTCCCCCTTTTAGACTTGGCGTCTGGATCAGAAGGATACGTACTGATTTTATTTTAAGAGCAGAGTAAATTTTTAGTAGTGACATATATCAGGTGAATGATCAAGTCGGGTCATTCTACATGAGACTTTAAGGTAGTCAAAAGAGCCATGTTTACATTTGGAGCCAGAGACCGAGGCCCTGGGGTGGACACTGCCATTTGCTTTGTGATGTTGGGGATTCTACTCAACTGCTTTATGCCTCAGTTTCTTTATCTGTAAAATGAGAATAAAACCTGTGAAACTTTATGAGGATTTTAAATGAATAACCAAAGTGTGAGTCTTGTCCCTGTCACTTCCCAGCTTTTATGTCTTTTCTGTATCACTTGTTTTGAGCAATGTCAGCACAGAATCCTGGAATACTGTGCCCCAAGAGATTATTCAGCCTAACAGTCCCATGTTACAGATGAAGAAACTGAGAACCATAATTACAGAGGAAGTACCTAGAATGTCAAGGTGACTCCTTTGAATGAGAATGCATATTTGGCATTTATATTTACATGTTTTTTTTTTTTTAACAAAACCAATATTGAAAAAAAAAACCACCTCATTTTATTGAAGTCATGCTGGTACACTCTCAAGTTAGATGGATTTCCTAAGAAATGGGACAGCAGTCCTCTTGGGCTTATAGATCAGGATCACCCTGCTTATTCTGTTCAACCCAGAGGAAGAGCAGAAATATCCAGGGTATAGAGGAAAGCTATCATAAGCCTTTTCCCAGAAAGGAGAAGTTTTTGCCGGTGCTTCATATGCTCTGGAGTGTCTTCATAAACAAAGGGTATCCCTGTCACTTCATCGGCCTCTGGGCTTCTCCCACCTTTCAGCACAGGTAAGCAGAGTGAGGAGGGTGAGGCAGAGGCTGTCCGTGAGAGCCACAGATCAGAGGGGCCGGGAGGGAGGAATGGGAATGATCTAGGAGGAGGAGGGAGGAAAGATAGGAGACTAAGAAAAGAAAAGGAAGTTCATTGCAGAGGGTCACCATGGCTACTCCTGGTGGTATCTATGCCGTTCTACCTGAACATCATCCCACCAGCAGTGAGAATGTCTGCTTTCTGCAAACAGAAGCACTCTCTGGAGAGGGGTCCCTTCCCAGCTACTCTTAGACACGCAGTACAGTATTCTAACAGTCCCTGCTTGTAAATAAATCTAACTTACTTAGGAAAAGTAAATCCTGCATATCACCATTGAAATTACTTGTTTCATTACCACACTAAAAAAACAATTCATTGCTTATATTGGAAAACCCATTCTTTTGGCCCCCTTTCATTTTTTTATACAGAGCGTAAATTTTTTTTTTTTTAATGGGCATAAAGATTTCAGGAGGGTTGGTCAATTATTTGTTGATTGAATTATAGGAAGAAAGTGTGATTATCCAATGGAATGCAGAAATGTATACGGCTAATTGTGTGCCTGCATGTACTTAACCCAACCATAGTAATCATTCTTTGTTTTTTGTTTCCTGGGGGAAATAGGTTAGGTTGGACCTGAATGCATCATTATAAAGTATGCACATATAAATTGAACTTTTCCAAATCTAGGTCGCTTGGATAAGAAGGCTCTTTTGATAAAACCAGATTGACAATTAGATTCACAGGGCACTTCAATGTTAAATGATATTCTTCCCACATTCTGGGTCATAAGGCAGCGAGCGTAAACAATACACCGATGTTAAGAAACAGAATCACATTGGAACAATAGCAAAGCTTCATGGTGCATGGTTTTCCACTTTAATATGCTGTGTTCTGTTCTGCCATGTTAATGTTTTAAGTGATATAATTTCCTTTTCATGTAGTTTTAAGTTCATCTTTTATTTTCTCTTTATCTTTCTGGAATAGCTTTCTATGATGCTACATCTTATGCCGGGAGAAATTCCTAACCAAAAAAAAAAAAAAAATAGAAAGCGTAAAGTCAAATAATCTTTGCAGGAAAACAGCAAAAATAACGATGAAAATTGATTTAAGATCCTCCAGCCAAAACGTTATCTTGTGTACTTTACAGACTCAATCTGTGTCCCAGGCTTTGATCCAGGCCTCAACATGATGACTGGGATCACCCCCATTAACCCAATGATACCAGGCCTGGGGCTTGTACCACCCCCACCGCCAACAGAAGTGGCTGTCGTCAAAGAAATAATCCACTGCAAAAGTTGTACTCTTTTCCCTCAAAATCCAAGTAAGTGATACCTGTGAGAACTACCTGCTCCTCAATTTAAATTTCTTTCTTTTCTTTCTTTTTTTTTTAATGTAGCATTGCATGCACTTTCAGATGTGACTCAGAATTCTTCCACATGGATGCACAAAGTGGGGATCCATTTGACATGATGCTTTTGTCTCTAGATTAGCACAGATGTATGGGGCTGTGTCCATGTGTTCTATCCAGGAGCTGAATTGACACGGTGAAGCCAGCTTATGTGATGTGGGGATACATACCCAGCATTAAGAATCTTTTTGCATGCAACGAAGTCTAGTAGTTGCTGCAGAACATAGTGTGAAATATGTGAGCATTTCCATCCATCTTCACAAATGTGGGAGAAAAACTCTGAAATGTGCTTTGCTAGATGGAAAATTGAATTAATTTGGCAGTTAGCAATTTTGGGGGGAGCCCGCATCTCAGAGTTTCTGGCCCAAATGGCATTTGCTTGAAGGAAACATACATTTGATGAAATAAATGAGCCAGAATTTTTTTTTTTAATTTAGTTTCAGATACTAAGTTTATGGGCTTAAATAGCTAGAATTTTTTTTTTATTCATATTAATCAGTGTTGCCTTTTTGAAGTGGACTTTTCAGGAGATTGCTTTAGTAATCTACATATAAACTAGGTAAAATGTTGTGACAGTGTACATTTTATCTTTCCCTACAGCCTCCCCCAAATGTAATTGTTGGCTCATTTAAATGTGAATAATAAAAAAAAAAGTGTCGTTTTCAGGCCCCGGTGTTTCCCCAGCCGAGCAAGTACTACGCATGTTTACAGGTCCTGTTCTCTGCCTTGCTGATCCGTTATCCCGCAGCAAGACAAAGCAGATAGCAAGCCCAAGTCTTCCATCATGTTGTCATCTCATCATGCTTTGTACTTTGTGAAGTTTTTTTTCCCCCATTTTCTGGGCTTCTGTATTATTAAGGGGAAATGAAATTATGCTAACATTGGCTTTATCTCTGTTCAGGGACAAGCTTAGCCACCCTGTGTAGAAAGGACCACAGAAAGTAAAGGTTGGGAGGAGGAGGGGAGAGGAGGTAAAAACATCAATGTGAGTCGGTGTAGACATGTATCACGACTCAGGGTGAAGAAAGTTACTCCGAGTTTCACTTTCGCCAGGTGAACCAGGAAGAGGGCAAAGAAATAAAAGGCACACCCCTCTGTTTCTGTTGTGACTATTAGATCTTCCTCCTCCTTCCACAAGAGAACGACCTCCTGGGTGTAAGACCGTGTTTGTCGGAGGATTACCAGAAAATGCTACGGAGGAAATTATTCAAGAAGTCTTTGAGCAGTGCGGTGATATTACAGCCATTCGGAAAAGCAAGAAGAATTTTTGTCACATTCGATTTGCCGAGGAATTCATGGTTGACAAAGCCATTTACCTTTCCGGTACTTTGCATTACATAAGGGGTATTCGAGGCATTTTTGTTATGTTTTGTGATGTTAATAGGAGCTTATTTCCCTTTTGCCTTAACGCACAATAAAGTCCTCACAGTTTGGGGATGGAAAAGGAGGACTTCTGCCTTTTCCTTTGGCTGCCAGAAGCTGTATGTTAAGTCTGTGAGTGCACTTCACATCAGGAAGGGTTTCCCACCACCAGTCTTCAGGAATTCCATCGAGTTTCTAATTAATGTTCTCAAGTGCTTATTAGATAAAAAGCAATATTATGAATCCTGAGGACCATTATTATTATTGGATGTAATTCCCTGGGGGAATAAAATATTCTCTCGGCATAATTTCAGTTTTTCAGAGTGTTTCACTTTCTAGACCCCAGGGTACCAAATCAAGATCAGTTTCTTTGCAGAAAGTAGTCCGTAGGTCCTAGGGGAAGACCTGATATCACTGCCCAATTGCTAGTGCATTTAGAGTGGGAAAGCCTACCCCAGGATACCTGTTTCTCAGGTGCCAATTGATAGGGAGATTTTTACAGATGTTGAAATTAGAGCCAGTGCTGCCTGTGGGTGTTGGGGCAAGTGCATGGAGGCTGTCCTCGAGGCCTTTGCCAAATCTGAGAACTATAGATCTGGTATTGGTATGTGGTCTTAGAGAAATGTGCGCTTAGAATCAACTCATTGCCATTCCCTCACTCTCTCCTTCTGCATGTTTCAGTCTGTCACTTGGCACACCACCTCCCTATTCCTGAGGCAAAGCTAATGAGGGAAGGTGAGAAAAGAATAGGGAAAAAAAAAAAAAAATTCTGAATGCTACTGCCAGGCTTACTTAATTTCTGCAGGCAGCTCTTATTGCCATGGAATTCCCTTGCAAACCCCAGAAGCCTTGGGGTTATTCCAGCACTGCTGCAACTTTCCTGAGCCCAGGCAGTGCTATGGAGAATTTTAAAGCCCTTATTCCAATAAAACCTTACAAAGGGGGGAGGGGGACCTGAAAGCATTCTAAAATAGAGATGGAAGACGAAACATAGAAAAATTATTTTACAACACACAAATAGCTATGTGTTTTACTTGTCATGTATTCTTGGGCCATAGCTTCAGAGTAGTCTATTACACAGTTGGGGATTCTGTCGAGTGCGTGGCATTGGGTCTCACATGCCTCAGGCAAGATAACCTCTCTCTGGCCTCCATTTTCTCATCTGCGAAATTTGAGGTAGTAACAGTACTAACTCATAGGATTATTATGAGGAATGAATCAAAATAATGGATATTAAGTGCTTAGCAGGGCACCTGCAACAATAGGAACCATTCAGCAAATGGATGTTTTTAATACAAATATCCTGAAGATGGTAAAGAAAGACTGATGCTCATTTCTCACAGACCTGCCCCAGGGAACCTGGATTGTAACCACGGCTCAACCATAAAACTATTTCTTTACTCCACCTGATTAAATGAGAGGGTTAGAGTAGATCAAAACTGCTTTTCAGCTCCAACATAACACAAAGTTTAGATACAATCAGAAACCCTGTGAGACATTGCCAAAGATGAACAGGCCCAAATTTAGGCATGGGAAAGGTATTCCTGTATTTATTCCTTGATGCTAGGCTCTTTCCAACCAGGATCCTGGTCCTGCTTCTGAGCCAGGTGCCTGATGGCTCCTTGGTCTTCCCCTTTGCAGCAGGAGGAGCCCACAGCAAAGGCCTCACCTCCAGCCTCCCTGCCTGGAGGCACAGCAATCAGCCACCCTGGGGAGGTTGTACATCAATCCAGGGAAGATCTGAAAGGCTGATTAACTGGAGGGGCAGGAGGGAAGGAAGGCTGCCCGTCCTGTGTGTTAGCTCCTACAAGCCCATACCCAGCTGGAAGGCCTAATTTTAGGACTGTGTTCACAGTTGAAGGCCAAGCTAATTTTAGACTCAGCCTCATCAGGATCTCTTTTAAGGCCTTAATGATGATGTTTTGGTGAAAGAGAGGGTACTTTTTGGAACCAGAAATATCTGAAAAGTGATGCTCTGGACTCGAGCAGAAGAAAGACGCTTGGCCAGTTAGGGCCGCTGGGCAGCCTTAGGCGGCATTTCCTGCTCAGCTGTTAGTGTATGTCACTGTGGCCTGCTGACTTGTTAAGTTTCTATGGCCCAGAACCAAGATACGCTCTGCTTTAGCATGAATTCTGCTCATATGTGATCGATGTTTGCGTTTTTGATAGGTATTGTTGTATCTTCCTATTTTTAGAGAACATCATTTAAACCTAGGAGTGAGAAGGGCATAACAGGAATCAGATGTGAGATCTGTCTTGTATTTGTAACTTCTCAAAGGTGTGAAGTGCCCTACAGGGAAGAAGTCAGCCTCTGCAGGGATTTTCAGCAGAGTTTCAACACAAATGCCGAGATAATCCATTGAAATCTAGCACGGAGATCTTGAACATCAGTGTAGTGCAGCCTTGCACTTCACAGTGGTATCTCATTTGCAAAGCCCCTACACGGCAAAAGTGCTCATTTTGCTCTCTCCTCTGGCAGCCCCGACAGCTGTGATCCTGCTGGGACCTAAATTTATGTTTTTAAAATCTGAGTACCCCAAACTGAAGAGCAGCCTCAAAGCCAAGTCTTCTTCATTTTGAAGCGAGGCTGGCTGTCTGGTTTCAGTTCTGTTTGTGTTGATTTCTCAGATCAGGTTTCTGCACATCATCTTTGTAAGTTGGGTAGCTCGCAGTAAATCCCCCAAAGGTTTCCAGGCCCTTTTTTTTTTTTTTTTTTTTTTGGTCCAGTTCTGTGCTCTTGCACAAGCTCCCCTGGCCTTCAAAGATTGCGTGGACAATTTGTGCAGTGCTGCATGCCAGATGAGGTGCTGCAGGGCTGTAAGAAGGCAGCGGTGAGGCCTCTTGATTGAAGGTAAAATAGTCTCCTGTGTGCCCCAGAGGATAAGTGGAAATAAAACAGCCTTGCAAAATTGCCTTGGTAATTGTGGCTTTTGCAGCTGCCGAGAGAGAATGGAGCAGCATTTTCTAGGGGAATGAAGCAATAACCTGTGAGTGAGGTGTTGTGGAATTTACTTTGTAGGTCTTTTTAAATACCATAGATATTCTTTATTTACCCCTACTCCGCCTTTTTCAAAAAAGAATTTAAGAACACTTTACGCAATAGAGTTACTGTAAATTGAAAATATAACACCACGGCCATAGAAGGGCAGAGAGGGGAAAAATGCTACATGCCAAATTTGTTTCCGAGCTTCCTGGAAGCCAGAGGGAAGAAGGAGTTACGGTAAGTGCCCTGGTTCTTGAGGTCCTCCTCTTAGTAACATTGGCTTGAAAGATGGGTAGGTGACCCTCCAAGACACCTCCCAGAAGCGTGTTTATCCCCAAATCCGTAATAAGCTGAACTTGGCAGTACTTCCTTATCACTGGGGAGAAGGGTAATTGCTTCCCACCTCCTATGGGAAGAATGCAGTGCCCTTTGGGCAAAAAAAAAGAAATAGGCGAAAGCCCCCTTGCCCCACCCCCAGGGTGCCTTGAGGGCCCGGCCAAAACGGTGCGGTCATCTTGGCGGTGACATTGTGATGCCACCGGCCTTTCTGTTGCTTTCAGGTTACCGGATGCGATTAGGGTCCAGCACGGACAAAAAGGACTCGGGCCGCCTGCACGTGGACTTCGCCCAGGCCAGGGACGACTTCTACGAGTGGGAATGCAAGCAGCGGATGCGCGCGCGCGAGGAGCGGCACCGGCGCAAGCTGGAGGAGGACCGGCTGCGGCCGCCCTCGCCGCCGGCCATCATGCACTACTCGGAGCACGAGGCCGCGCTGCTGGCCGACAAGCTGAAAGGTAGGGGGCCGCCCGCGCGTCTCCGCCCGGGCGGGAGGCACGGCCCACTCCCAGAGAAACCCCACCATCCCCCCCCCCCCACCCAACACACACACACGCAACGCCCCAGACGTCTCGGGCCCTCCGCGTGCCGAGGGCTTGCGGGCGAGGTCACCCGGAAGCAGGAGCCGCTTGGAAGCGCTTCCTCCTGCTGTCGGGACAGAGCCCCGCCCCTTCCGCCGCTGTGCTCCGAGCACGCGCGTGTACGGCCCCTCAACACGGTTCGCGGAGAGAGGGGCGGGCGAGTCATGCGCAGTAGCCCCGGAGCGGGCTCTTGTCTTCGCGCCTGTGTTGACCGAGCGAGGCTGGTGTCTCCTGTGGGCAGGCGGGTCCTGGTGTGCCTCCAGCTCCTGGAGTTTCCACCTCCCTGGACTCTTCACAGAGCCTCCCTTCACGCACGTGGGAAACGGTGCTGGGGTCTGTGGAGGGTAGAAGCGAAATGCAGAAAGGGATCATCCCTGCCTTCAGAGATGGCGTTGAAGGGACACTGCTGACACCTACAGAATAAGTAGGAATAAAAAGGAGTACATTTCATTTCTTTAAAGTTCGCTGTGCTCCTTTCACATGTTTGATGCTATGGGGGATAAAGCCATATGCAGGCTTTAGTACCTGCCCCAGTGAACTGCAGATGATTGGGGAGGGGCCAGATGCTACCTCGGGGTCACGTGTATGTGTGAATTCTCTTCCATTATTGAGCAGAGTCACGGAATCTGAGCAGCACCTGCATTTAGGGGCAAATGATGGTCAGACCTTCCTCGCGCCATTGGGGGCATCAGGTTAGAGTGGCTGGCCACACCCAGGTGTCTCAGGTAGTACAAAGCCAATGGCATGACTGTCAAGCAAAGTAGGAGCAACGTGCTTTGGGAGCACGGGGGCAAGTGTTGATGAAGGTATGGAGAAAATCTTCACAGAGGAGAACTGTGCAGGATAAACAAGGTTTTTCCTTCCCAGGAGAAGAAGGGCCTTAAAGACATTAAGGTCAGAGGCCGGAGCCCTAGGGAAAAAGACACAAGGAAGCAGAGAGGAAGGTGGCACAGGAGGGGAAGGGTAATGGGCCTGTTCCAGCGCACATGAGACCGGCATGGAAGTTTATAGAGCAAGGTGGAGCTGGAAGAGCATTTTGGGGCCAGATGGTCGGGCCCTGAAGGCTGCCCCTGGATTTGGGTTTTACTCCATAAGCAGTGGAGAAGCCATTAAAGATCTATGATGAGAAGAGAGATGTGATTGATCCTTGGAGTATTTTAGAGCATAGCTAGTATATTGCTGGCAGCGTGTAAACTGATTGGATGTTTTCACTAAATGAAATGTGTGAAAGCTGCTCAAAACCTATTTTAGGAGGATAGGAGGTTGACATTCTGTTTCTTTAAAAGAGAATTCTTTTTAAAAAGGACTTGTGCTTCTAGCCCTTGTGCCCTTTTCAGGCCTTGGCAGCCCCTAATCAGCTGCCGCCGTTGTGGCTGAAAGCTCCCCACTGTAACTACCGAGGGCTTTTTTGCCAACGGCCTGTGTTCCACTGCTCTGGGAGGGCCTGTCTTACAGACATAAGTACATAGGCCATGGGTGTCCCTTTAACAAAAAGCACACGAAAGGCAAACACAGGCATGATCTCCCTTTTCCATTCAGGCTACAAATCATAAGTAGTGGCCAGAGTGAGAAAGAGCAACATCCTCAACCAGGAATGTTGATTTAGCAACAAGTTGTTTTTTCTTTAATATCCCGCACATTGTGCATTATCGGCTTCCATGCTCCACTTAGACGTGACAAAAACTGGCGCCTTGGTTCTGTGACTTCTTGGAGGGATTTCACAAAAAGTTTGGCGTCCTCCTATTCTTTTAAGGAAACAGCACACAAATGTCTGTGCACTTAAGAGGAACATGGCGTTGCCTTTGCTGTGGGGGGGTCACAGATTGGGATATCAATTGGGTGAAGTAATTTGCAAGTTTTGCCATTTCAAAAATATATATTTATATAGATGAGTATAATTTGCAGAATTTAGGAGCTGCACCTTCGCCAAGTACTGTGTGATCCGTTGAGAGAACAGATTGGAAAATTTAATAGATGGCAGTTACAGTAGAATGAACTAGCTAGGGTTACAGTGCAGGCAACCAGTCAGGTAATACCAAGCTTGACAATTTCAACCCAAGCACAGAGTTTGGAATATAAACAGCATTTAATTGCTTAGGAAATTGGCTGCCTCAGAGAGGAAATCTACTCCATGCTCCTTATAACGCTGTAAAGCCAGACTGGAGGGGCCAAGGAAACTGCTTCCCTGAAGATGACTTCATTGATGTGGGGATAAAAAAAACAAAAAATGCAGTCAAAACCCAAAGTAAAGAAGCCTGAGTAAAAAAGACGATGGAAATACGATCTGAAAATACCTAATTGAATTTGATTTTTTTTCCTCCCCTGAGAAATCATGCTATCTTAGGTTTATTACAAACATTTTCCCCCATTTTACATTGTACTTGTTTATTCTTGCAGTTTGCTTTTTGAAAATCAGCTCTATCTAGCAAAATCTGCACAAGCCAACTCTTTATTATGATCCACGAGGCCCTCTACATGCTGCCCAGTGTTAAAACTCTGCACATAGTAAATACTTAATTCCTTTCTCCCTTCCTTAGCGATTTGGAGCTTTGAGCATGTTGCATTTCTGGCCTCTGGTGCCACCAGACGTGGTGGGAGGTGTGGGGGGGGGGGGTGATGTGCCAGCATTGTGCAAATATTTGTGGAGCTCTTCACCATATACCTGGAACTGTGCTAAGAAGCACTGCGGGGGGGGGGGGGGGGGGCAATAGCACATGTGCCCCTACCTCACAGAGTTTAGGCTTCTGGCGCAGTACAGGTGATTACTAAGCACCATGTACTTCCCGTGGTGGTGTGTGAAAAGTGCAGCGAGCTATCCCAGGGGGGACCCGGATCCCAGCTGGACCAGCGGCAGGGTGAGGGGGCGGATCTCCTGAGATCAGCTAACCCCAGATCCAGTGGCCACTGGGCCTTCTTGAAGACGCAGGAGACGTCAAGTTGTAATTATGCAGTGTCTTAAGGCGGTGTTGGTTACGTTAATACAAATTCTAAAAAAGAAAATTAGCGGGCACCCTGCTGATTAAATAGACATTGTTTTGAGACAATTCCACTTAATGAAGACTGACTGGGAAGTAACTGCTCACAGACCCAAAGTTTATAGCATGGCTTTGAGAAAGTGAGAAGGAGCTCAATAACACCATAATTACACTTTATTGGAAACAGTAGCACCAGGCAGATGAGCTAATGAATTTCAGCGTGTCTGACACAGACCATCCACCCCTGGAGGAGCCCTGTGTTTGGACTGGAAGGAAGAGATTGATTAGACGGTGAGAAAGATTATATCCTAATTCACTGGAGATTTCTCCTGGCAAGAGCATTTAAAAGTTTTTGTGTACTTTTTCCCCCTTTGGAAAAGCTTCACATAATCTTTCATTATGTGATGAAATGAAGAGTTTTTCTCTGCATCAGGTGAAGTTTTGTCAAAGCTTTGAAGCAGTGCCCTTGGGATCCCCCTGGCATGTCCTCATGAATTCAGTTCTCCTGGGATCAGCATTCCTAATTTCCAGAGGGCTAGACTCGGATTTGCATACAGAATGGCCCCATGTCAGCCTGCCAGACGATGGAGGGGGGGTGCCAGTGGTGCCAGTGGCGTTTTGCTGAGACGGTTGTCAATATTTATGGTTCCGAGAAAGTAAAAATCAATAGCACTGTAAGCCAAGTGGAAGTTCCATTAGCTAAAAGCCAGGCTTCCTTCTCAGGGCAAGGGAAATGAGACGCACGGGAGCCTGTTTGAGAATCACTTCCTTAGGCGTTATTGACCTTCACAGAGGCAAGATATGCCATTTCATCTAGAAACACTTTGCTTGACCCAAAAGCAAGAATAACCAGTGCATTTTCATATTGCCACCCACCCCCTTAATTTTTTTTTTTTTTTTTCATTTTTGCAGGTACTACAGAGTTGGGGGAGTGTGTGTGTGTGTGTGTGTGTGTGTGTGTTGGAGGGAGAGGGGTGCATTAACCATTTGTATCACCTTTCCTGCTACCTGTGATTTGGAGGATAGATAAGGTTACACCCCTTTTAATGGTTTATTGAGGAGCCAAAAAATGGAGACTTGTTTAGGGATGTCCAATGTTGAGGGACACATAGTGGAATTCTAGGGATGTTGTAGGAATAATGCTTGGCCATCCTGGAATCCCATTCTGCTTGGGTCAGTATGTGACTCTACCCTGTAAGCTTTTCCCAGCTATCATAGAAACCAGAAATCAGTGATAGCCAGATCGACACACCATCCACACGATTCATCTTGTGTGTACGTGTGTGTGTATCCCCATTTTTTGGGGGAAAAATGTGTTGTAGAACATCTTCTTTTTATCTCATTCTCAAGGCATTTTATTCAAGTATTAATCTCCTCTCCTGTTATTCCTTTATAGACCCAGCCATAAATAAGGGTATTACAGCCCACCTAAGTTTTCATATTGAGTGTTCATGGCCTGGCTCCCATCCACCTATTGTTCTGAAAATCAAGGCCAGATCTCCCTCCATACACAAAGGGGGAGAAAAAACTGCTTACCAGTTTGAGTCCTTTTCCCCTTTATTATCTATTAATCAGTTTGATTGAAGTTCATCACGTGTCCATCTGCTGAGTCCCTGGGCTCTGCGTCATAGCCCTGGGGTTTCAGACATGACTGCAGCCCGGGCCTGGCCTTTGAGGAACTTGCAGTTCAGGGGTGGCTAAAGGATATTCTGGCAGTAGAACCATGACTTACAAATATAACATGAACATGTGCCAGCGATTTTATTTAACTCATTTAACGAGAGAATCGGTAAGACGTTAAAAACTGGTTCAAAAGAGAATTTGCTCTATAACAATTTATATTTTCTACTGGACAAAAATTCATCTACGTTGTTATGGAGAATTATTTGCATTGTTATCAGTTCTCCACAATTTATGTTCTGTCCCTAAAGAGTTGTAAGATAGCCTGATCAAAAACAATTAAAGATTCACTCCCCTGTAGAATCAGATAATTCTGGGGGCTGGAGGCCAATGGAGAGGGTCCTCTAGGCCATGGCCAGCATTTCACTGAAAGGATCTGCAGTAGTCTCTATGCCCATTTCCAAGTCATGGACATTTTTTTTTTTCTGGATGGGGATGCCAGGTGTTAAAGCAGCTATTCCTTAAATGGGGTGGGGGAGGTCAGGGACAGGGATTTGCAAAGCTCATAAGGATCACATCAAATTCTTTCAATATTCTCCACTATCTCAGCTGCTACTTTCCATTTAAGGGTTTTGTTATCTTTTAACTTAGATGAGCTCCCAGCCAATTTCCCTGGTTTTCATTGACCGATTTCTTCCAGTGCTTCCAAAACTTTAATGTGCATATGAATCACTTGGAGTAGGATGCAGATTTTGAGTCAGGAAGTCTGAGTAAGGGTGAATCTGCATTTTCAAGGAGCTCCCAAATGAGGCTCAAGCTTTAAGTCTTTGAATAGCAAAGATTTATCCCATGTGCAATTTTTTAAATGTCTATTATGTGCCAGGTGCTCAAGAAACATGAAAGAGAGGGAGGGAGGTTGATAAAGTCTGAAGTAAACAGAAATGAAATGAGATGGGTATGTCTTTAGGTAGTGACACTGAGGGATGATCGTCATTATAATATTATTTATTCCTCACAAAACTAAATTTGGTCATTATTTTCCCAGAATTAAAAATGCCTTCAAAAAGATTTTTTGAGTCTTTTGACAAGCTGGTTAGTTAGTGCCTTACTGCAGAAAGTTCTGCTTCTCTGTGATTATCTGACATCATTCTTAACTTTCGTTGCCAGTGGTAATGACCTCAGAGGCCTGAAAGGTAAAGAACCAGCTAGCTTAACTGCCAGGAGAACATTTATCTCTGAGAGACACTGTGAAAATACTCTTTAACACAAAATTGAAGTGTTTATTCCCATCTGATGTTTCCCAACTTCTGACCACTGAATTTGTGGCTCTCGAGCACTAATCACTGCAAGCCTGTTAGAAATCGTGTAATCAAATATAAACTGCGAAGAGAAAAACTCGAAGGGACCAGAAGATTGAAATCTGTTTTGGAAGTTTTATTCTCATGTTAGCCCTTCAAAACTGGAGACCCATCCATAAATGAGCAATTACTATATAGAGTGACTAATGTCTTAGTAGCAGGTTATATAGGGAGCTGTGGAAACATAGCAAATGGACACCTAATTCATGTTAGGGTTACAGAAAAGCTGACTTCATGGAAGACACTGAAGCTGAATCTTGAGGGAAACAGAACAGGTGGACCAGAAACATGAATGCTCCTTCCTAGGATGACTGCACAGACAGGCAAAGGCATGGCCATGGTGTTTAACAAAGGAGAGCGCTATAAGGGAATGGGGGAGGGATGGATTGAAGAGCAAAATGCAAATCAAGAAAAGCCACAGAGTAAACATGTGCAGTAACCTGTGTGTGACATCGCGAAGACCCTGATTAGAAAACACTACACAATTTTTAATGAGCAAATGGTTCATAGTCACTCCTTAATGCACCGATCTTCCCAATTCTTACTGTGGAAAAAGCACATCTGCACATTCTAGTTTCTAAACTGCACCCATGTTCAGAGTTATGCCTAAGCATGTTCACAGAAAGTATTTGGAATTTTTATAACTGCATCTTTGATGTGATTTTTATGAGCAGTGTTAATTTCTTTTCACGTGAATAGCTTTAATAATGCTGCAATCTAAATCCTGTTTAAATTAGTTTTATATTGTTTTCTGTTTTCTCAATGATCTTCCCACTGAATACAAAATTGAATTTACAGTTGGATATTGAAAATGACCACTCCCAATCGCTCCTATAGCCATTCAGAGTGAGTTGCTGGGTTAGTCTTACTTAATATAAAGTCACTTCTTACATAGCAAAAGATATTGACCAAACTTACCAGTGAGCCTTAACTAATGTCTTCACATTTAAGTTGCATGTCAGTACATCAATTATACATTGGCCTGACAGTTTTAGAAAGTTCAGAAATGAGGATGAAATTGGGAGTTTTCAAAAGTATATACTTATTTTAAGCTAATGGAATTCTGCCTACAATCACTTGTGTTACCTATTTTTTAACCCTTGTTAAAATGTGAGCAAGTCTCATCCTGGCTCACTTGATAAATTGTATATTTCCAATTGCTTAATCTTAAAACTGCTGTTTTCTTTTTCTGAAAACTATCAAATAACTATGATCTGCTGGTGAACTTATGCTCTCCATCTAGGAGTGAAGAACAAGAAAATTTCGTTTTCAGATCATTTGAGCAAACATACATTTAAAAATTGAAGTGTGTTCTCCCTCACAGTAAGTTAGTGTATTTATGAGCTCAGTGACCACAAGCAAGAGAAGGAAAAACAATCAGTAATAGGAGGGAAAGATAGAACAACATTGTTCTCTCTGCTAGTAAGCTCAACAACAAAATCGTGAAGGGTTTTCTTTGCTCTGTGTTATGCAGAGATGAAAGTCCCAGCAAAGGGTAAAAATGGTACATGGAGTCAGTGTTTTCTTTTTGTTGTTATTTTTTAAGAGGGGGGGAAGCTTTCTTATAAGTGTTAGGTTTATTCGTGCTGTCTTTTGGGAGGTCCATTCTTCTAACATATATTGGCAGGGAGAGAGGTAGAGAGTGCGTGTGGGAGGCAAAATTTATTCTGACTATAACGGTCACAGTGGGCCTCTCACAAACATAATGCTAAATTATGGGCCTCTCCATGGGCTGAACGTAATGTTAAGTTGTATGATGGATTTTATCTTACACAAGCCGCTCCGGTCCATGAAATGAGATAAGAAACCACTGCAGCTGGAGTTCACAGAGGGTTGAGCTCAGACTGAAATTCCAGAGTTAACAAAATTGGATGAGCCAGCTGTGAGACTGCACGCGTGTGTTCTGAGCCTGTGCTTTGAGATTTTCGAGGAAAGGCATCTTTGCGGGGTGCCCCATGGGCGTTTCCAGGGCCTCTTAACTCCTCTGGTGAAGGTGTGAGGGTGGAGGGGGCAGGTTTGCACTGGAAAAAGGCTCTGATCCCCAATCTCCAACTGCCCCTGCCGCAGTGGGGGAGGGCCTGGCTGGGTACTGATCAGTAGCTTGCATTTGATAGATGCTTCCACCCTGGAGAAAGCAGAGCACATCCCTTTGTGGGTCAGGCTGATCCTGCCTTCATTCAGCGCACACACCTCTGGGCAAGCAACAGCCACAGCAAAGAAGTTGTGTCCCGTCTGGGAGGGGGCCTCTGGCAGAAAAAGTACTATAGATATTTCTATCCTGCGCTATGAAGTTCACAAAGAGCCCCAAGAATGAAGGTTTTGTATGATGTGTAACATACCAACAACAGCGGTTAATTAAAAAACATCTGGTGAGTGAGATAAAACTCCTTTACCGAATATGAATCACGCTCTGTCCAGTCATCTGGGTGAGTGTGTGTGTGTGTGTGTGTGTAAATAATATATAATATACAAAAATATATAATAATATAGAAAATATACGCACACACACACATACACATACACTGCATAAGGATGTTTCTGATGTTCCTCCAGTGGAGGGAACATAGCAGGCACTCAGTATTTATCAAATAAATGAGTAAGAATCTGAATCTTCCAGTTTAATTTTGCTACTGATTTTTAGAATTCAGAGCCTACATAGTTTTCTTGAAAAATATAGGATATTTTTCTTAAGTCACATTTTTCAAGGGTAGAAAAATACAAGTGGAAGACGTCTCCCCTCAAGTTTGCCTGGGAAGTATGCAGTGAGCCTTCAGCAGTAGGATCGATTAATGTTGTGATAATTGACATACAACTTCCAGTTCAATTAACTTAATTACCTTCAAACTTGCTTTTTTCCCCCCTACTTTTAAGCCATGCAACACAGGTCTGTTCTAGTAACCATTCCCAAACAGGCAAGTTTATTTATTTTCTTTCAAATAAACTCTATCATTTATTTACAGGTGGAACCTCATTCCCCACTCCATCCCCCCAACCCCCATACATACCTCAAACCAAGTTCAAATTGGTTCCAATAGGCTTCTAGATGGCTTCCAGAGAAAACACTGACCACCCAGATAACAAATTCTCTTTTGTTGAAAACAAGGGAATATTCTATTTTCAACCTAATTAAATATGTTGTATTAAACCTAAGATGAAATTAGTTTTGAACTGTAGTAGAAAAAGAATTGACTAATTTCTACTACCACCTTGGGAACAATATCTTCCATTACATCCAGTTTTAAAATAGTTTAATATGTCATCCATATTTTGACACTAACTCAGCTGATTCTGTCAGAAAACTAGTATCATTGTATAATATACCTGATGAAAGAATAAAGAAGTGGCGACCAGATAGGTTAATAACAGTTTTTCAAGCCAGTCTTAAGAAAGAGAAATCAGGGTTTGGCATACCATGTTACCAAGAATGCCCAGAACAGATCTAAAACTTGAACTCACCAGGTTCGGAGATGAGAGAGTGACCCACCATTTGTTTCTTGGCTGGCTCTTTGGCACCATGGAATTAGAGGCAGAAGGGGAAACCAAACAATGCTGGAGCAGTTAGTCTTAGGAAAGCTAATTTGTCAAGTTCGGAAAATGCATCCAAGAAGATGGTCCGTGTTCTGTCTTTTGAGAAGAACCCAAAGTAAAGTTCATTGTCTTGCCTTGGCATGATTTGTACTTCGTGGTTTTCCATTTCCAGATGATAGCAAGTTTTCAGAGGCTATCACAGTGCTCCTTTCCTGGATCGAACGAGGGGAGGTGAATCGGCGTTCTGCAAACCAGTTCTATTCCATGGTGCAGTCAGCCAATAGCCACGTCCGCCGGCTGATGAACGAAAAAGCCACCCACGAACAGGAGATGGAAGAGGCCAAGGAGAATTTTAAAAATGCCTTAACAGGAATCCTCACTCAATGTAAGTAAAATTTTGGGGGCCATCTGTTTTCGTTGTGAGTTTGCCTTTTCTTTTGCATTCATTTAATTTTTGTTTTCATTTGGGGGTAAGTAGTTCAATAATTTCCCATTTTACTCCATATTGAATGGCAAACCTCATAACCTATTTCATGTCCTGTGGCAACTTGGAGGAACATGGACCCTGCCCTGAGAGCTTACTTCTCAAGGTGAGCAACGTTTCTGTAGCTTTTCCTCAGAACACCAAACCCGGCCACTGGGGCAGGGCAGCCAGATGCTTCTGTGCCTGCTGGACCCACCACAGGTTACACCACACCTCTGGGGCACCTGCCGGGCGGCTGCCCTTTACCATGCAGGACATGACCTGCATGTCCTCCTAGTGCCGACAGTAGGAAGCAGACCCCGAGCACATTGTCCTTGAGCTTTGTTTAGGATGAAGGCACCATCAGAAAAACTCCTCCTCAGGATCCTTTATTTGAGGTGAGCTTTGGCTGTCAACATGGGCAACTCAGAAGTCGAGGTTTTTCTACAGTATTATTTTTTTGTCCTTTCTTCATCTCGAAAGCAAATTGCCTTAACTGCTTAATGCTGGCGATTTTTCATGTCCAGACCTAAATTGATGAAGGGGTGTAAATAGGCTTTCTCATAGAACAATAGTCAGGGTAATTACCCAGGGCTCTATTCAAAAAAAGGGCGTTAATTTTTTTTCCGGGCACTCTGTCTGTGTCTGTAGTTAACGTCACAGTGGCATAATGCATTGCGGTTTCTGATGTTCCTGTAAAAGCCATCGAATGACACTGTAACAATGCCCCACTCTATTCGGTACCAGGTGCAGGGTGTCCCGTGGGATGGTGACATATGCGATTTACATATTCGTTCTGAGAATGAGGAATTTTTTCAATGATACAGTGTGCCAAAATGTCGATCGCCTCTTTCATCAGTGTAAACCCAAGGGACGATGGATCTCTCTGTTAGGACCAGAAGAGAGAGGGACATGAAAAACCAGGCTCTCAAGTGGAAAGGTGTTTTATATGACTTTGTTGTAAGAAGACCATTTTTTGCAGCAACATAAAATATATAAGAAACGCGCAAACATGAACTCTGGTAAGTGACCAAATATCCAGTAGGAGACCAACCTGGGCACCTGTCTTTATAGAAAAGGAATAGGAAAAACAGAAGTGCTGTCTCATCAGACCAGTATCAGACCACTTTCCCTTGATGCCCAGTCATGAGGAATGGCCCTTCCCCAGACCGTGTACACCCAGCAGTTCTGAGGTTAGGGTTACTAAGGATAGGATAAAGAACACTAATATTGATTCCACCTTTAAAAGGAGGGAAGCACGGAATGGATTAGTGGGTGGAGGGGAGGTAAGGCTGGCTTGGTAATGGAGAAAAGGAAGAGAGGGAAAGACCACTCAACTCTAATGATACAGTCCCTGCAAAGTAATGGCAAGCCAAGTGCGTGAACACTGGGATATTACTGGGTAACTTTTGCTCACTAGCATCAGTTTAAAAACATTTTCACTCCTGTGACTTCACAGTCCCACCTGGCGGGGAAGACTCAACCCTTGAGCCTAACAATGAAGGTAGAAAGACAGCCACGCATTAGAATAGGGGAGAAATTCGGTGTCCTTTGTCCGTATCTGTTGAAAGAAGCACCTGTTAAAAAGAGGCCCAGCTCTTGTGGCTGAGAGAATGCAACGTGCCTGACATGATGTGGGGCTGAGCTGGTCTCGGTATGAAACCACAAGAGAGATAGATCTTCAAAGAAGTCAGGCACGTGGCAGGATCCAAACATCAGCATTTGATTACCAATAAAGGCTGAATTGGAACGTGAGGTTGAGGTCTGCTGTAACAATGGGCTTTCTACTGCGAGGCCTCCAGGGGGAGCATCTGGCCACAGGCAGCCCTGAAGCCCTTGACCCCGCTGCACAGTGAGGGGAGGAGCAGGGGGGAAATGAGCAGGGGTACAGGCAGGCTGGTGGGCTGCCTCCCTGGGAAGGAGAGAGTGAAGGGCGGGAGTAGGACCAGGAATTTTGGAGGGAAGTCCACCTCATGGAAACCTAGGAGTGGAGACTCCTATTCTAGATACCTCTTTGGCACCTCCACTGTGAAATACCGAAAATGGAATTCTTGCTTTTAATTTTCAAACCCATTCCTTTTTAGGTTTTTCCTTCCTATTTTAAGGAATTCTCAGACCCAAATCCTACAAGTAATTTTTATCCTCATCATCTCCCTCCTCCAAAGCCCGTATTCAGGCCATCAGGAAATCCCATTGTGTCAGCATTCAAAAACCACTCACTTTTCTTCATTTTAACTGCCAACATTCAAGTGCAGGCTGCCTGAACTATGGCAGTGGCCTGGTGCGTCCGTGAGGCCTAGTGTCCACCTGTGAGTAACAGAAAACCCTACCCAACTGTGTCTTAAAAAAGTGAGGTTTTTGGGGCGCCTGGGTGGCTCAGTCGGTTAAGCGGCTGCCTTCGGCTCAGGTCATGGTCCCAGAGTCCTGGGATCGAGCCCCGCATCGGGCTCCCTGCTCAGCAGGGAGCCTGCTTCTCCCTCTCTCTCTCAAAAAAAAAAAAATAAAATTAAAAAAAAAAAAAGAGGTTTTTTTTCTTTTCATACCTGTAAAACCCGGCTGTAGATGCGTATAGGCGCAGGTTCAGGGCTGCAGGGCTGTCAGGCCTGAGGTGTCCGCGAGGCTGTTAGCTTTTCCTAGGTGATGGTCAAAAACGACTGCCCTTGGTCCTGCCATCACATTGGTTTTTTTACATGCTCGAATCACGTAAGGGAAAAAGCAGAGGGCGGGCTTGTGCCGTTAGGGCAAGACAGCAAAACTTGCCCAGAGATCCTCAACAGACTTCCGTTTGCGTCGTGTTGTGCGGAATTATTACACGTGTCCATGCCTAGCTACAAGGAAAGCAGGAAATACCCTTTTTTGAGTGGGCCCGTTGCTCCCAGAATAAAGCTGGAGCTCTCATAGGAAGGAAGGAGGGGAGGAGGGCTGCCGGGAGGCATTGTGCAGTTTCTGCCGTATACAGTCCCTCCCTTTCCACTTTGATTCTTGTTCAATCTATTTTTCACACATCGTCTAATATAATTCACATCATGTCTTCCCCACTTAAATCCCTCGAGTAGCTTCCCATTGCACTTACAATAATATTCACTCTCCCCAGACTACAAGCTCTCCAGACCTGCCTCTTTAGCGTCAGTTTTCCCTTGACACGCCGTGCCTCATCCCCACTGGCCTCCCCGCTGCGGAGCCTGTCAGAACTGCCTCCCACCCTTGAGCCTTTGCACCTCTGTCCTTCTGTCTGATGTGCGCTGCTCCCCACCCTGTGTGCATGAATCCTCCCCATGCTTTGTGGTCTTGGCCGAAAGCCCACCCTTCAGGAGACCTTTCCACTTCAGCCTTCCCCAGTAGTTTCACCCAGTTCGAGGTCCTTCGGAGTACTTAACCAAAACATGCAATGATGTCATGATTTGTCTGCTCTTGATTATTAGTCATGCACGCACACCAAGTGTCTGGAACGTAGACTCAGGATGATGAGTGAGTGAGCACATGAGTAAATAGGAAGGACGGCAGGAAGGAAGCCTGAGACCGTTCCGAAGTGCCCAGGGCCCTCTGAGAGCGGTTTGGCGTGGGTGGCAGCACAATCCGGGGGGCCCGGGCCTTCAGCTCTGCTTGTGTGATCCAGCACGTCTGAAGGCTCCCTAGCTGTGTCTTTGTTGGTAATTGCTGTGCTCTACCAGACCCTGGTAGCAGGCTAGGGGGTGTTAGGGGAGTCAGCGTGGAAGAGTCAATGGAAAACTTCGTGTTGGCGTTTCTCAGTTGTAACCACATTTCCCATCTACCTGTTGCTGTGTGAGAGACCCCCCTCAGCCCTGTACTTTGCTTCTGGGGAAGTGTTTCAGCAGCCAGCAGAGCAGGTGAAAAGTCCCAGCTGATGTTGACAGCCCACAGTGCTGTGCCCATCCCAGCCACAGAGGGCCTAAGGGGTCATTGTGTGCCTTGGTAGCTAAGGCCCTTCGGAACAACCTCAAGATGGGAGAGACCTTAAATGTGAGTGTGACCTGGAACTAAGCCTTAGAGGGAGAACAGGAAGGTTGCGTGTCTTACTGAACAACCTCAGAATTTTCCATTCTTTCCTAAGTGCTTTTACAAAGATGACTACTCCCCGGCTGCAAAGGGGAACGAAAGCCTACCATTCGTCATGACAATGGTAGCAGTAACCTGGCTAAGCTGCTATGTGTGTGCACATTTCATCACCCTTTGAATTTTAAATACATCTATTGTCATGTCTGATACAGTTATGTCTGTTTGTCTCAACCACATTTTCCACTTATCCCAGCTCCCTTTAGTATGGCGGGGTGAGTTTGGCATCGGTACATGGGGCGGCTTCTAACATAATGACTGCCAAAGTCCACAGTGATTGGCACACTCACTACATTTTCCAAAAGCAGAACCAGCCACACCCCCATTCGTCCGCATTAATACTTCTGGAAAACACCGCAGGAATCACATTTCGGCTTTCTCATTTAGAATTAGATCATGATTGTTAAGCACGAAAATTCAGGAATGGCATCTGTTTTCTTTCTCCTAAGGGGCTGGAGATCTGGTTGTTTGGCAGTAACCCTGAGTGCACCCTCCCTCATAAAAGATGTCCACAGCGCCAGCACCCTTCTCCGTAACATCCCATGGTGGTCTCCGTTGGAAAGCCACAAGGGTCAGGAAATTGTTCTGAGGCAATTTGAAAGCAAATATATTGATGAGCTGGCTTATTACATCAGGTGGAGCTGGCCCGGTGTCCTGAAGGGAGGGTTCATTTGACAACTTCCAGAAAAGTTCAGGCACATTTTTGCAAAGCTCCCAGCATGGTAAGTTGGGTCCCTAGATAGATATTATTGGAAATAGGAGAAGGGAAATTTCATTAAGTGTTAGTCCATTAAACTGGATAAGATGCACCCATCCTTGCTTTGCTTGTCATATTTGTCCTTGCTTTC